TGCCTTTCTCAGGTGGGATGGTTCTCTACGTATGTGCTGTCTAGTCTTGTTTAAATCAATTCAAGTGCTACTAGTAATGAAGATCCATTTCACTGGTAAAGAATCCATTATGAATCCATTAATTGGTAATGAAAATCTGTTCTGTGGCTTTTTCCGTGTTTATCTGCATCCAGTAGTCTTTGTGGATTGAGTCCTTCATGACAGGTGTTAGAGACGAGTCCCAGACAGACAGACTGAGACTGGAGCAATTCCTTGCATTGGCAGAGGATGACTGGATGAGCTTGCAGGGAAGGATGGGTGGCCAGCCTTGCATCCTGCCTTTCCAGGATGGAGCTCACCGTGAAGTGGCTGGTGCAGGCTGTGGGCTCCTGAGTTATGGTCTGTACATGGCAGAGTATCCCATCCAGTGGTACCATCAACCAAAGTGCTGAAAGATGATTTCAAGCTTGTTCTCATTTTGCACTGTTTGCAGAAGTGGCAGTTAGTCAATTTTCAGTCTGTAATGAGGCATGTTGATTATTTCTTTAAATACAAGTATATCTGCTTCAAAAAAACCCTTGATGGATGCTGCATTTTTCTAGGTGACCTTTCATTTTTTGAAAGGCAGATGGGCACAAATACTGAGGCCCTATCATTCTCAGTGCATAGATTCTGCAGGAATAAGCTGTTTATAATTGCCTAGATAAATATATTTGTACTTTAGGACACTAAAATAATATTTCAAGTGATGTAGCAGGTGCAATTGACTCAGTTTTATTTGTATTTAGTTTTGAAGCAGTCATGTAATTTAGATTCTTTATTTCTATTAAAGGTTTCAGGTTTAGCATCTGTGCTATTTAAAATACTGATACTGGGAGGTACAGTAGGAGATGGAAATACTTTATTTGAGAATTAAATGATTCATTAAATTACTAACTATTGAAACTAGTAGTTTCAATATTTTAAAATGAACATTGGTGGAGTCACAATTATTTCAAAATAGTATTTGATCTGCTGTCCTATGTATTTGTTACATTATTAATTCTAGTATTACTGAAGCTAGTGTAACTCTTTGTTATGCTCTTAAGTGTGTAATGTGAAGTTTGTGAAGTTCAAGGAGTCCTAACTAATGTAACTCTTATCCCAGTGGAGCATCATCTCTAGGATATTAACGAAGTAAACTGTGAGGCTAATGAATTTTCCCCTAAGTTCATTATTAAAATGATTCCTTAATTGCAAGTAATCATTATGCAGCCAGTTTTACATATATGCTAATTATCCTTTATACCGAACTTTTTATGTATTATGAAACAAACAAGCTTCAAAGCATGGACCATTATCTCTAAATGCTAAGTGGAAACAAGCATCATACACAGAAAAAAGTAGCTTACCCTATAAAATATTTTCTAATTAAATGCTGAATAACTTAATTACTTAACAAATGTGGGCTGAATATGACTTATGAGTTCTGAGTTAAGACTGTTCTCCAAATACAGTCCAATACCAGCAGAATCTGGTCTTGAGTCACAGATCCTCCAATACTTTACCTGGCAATATTTATATATAAATGCTTGCATTGTATATGCAATATATTTATGTTGCAGTGCTTGCAATGACAGCAAAACATTATCTCTTTCCATGGCTCCTAAAATAAAGATCCATCAGCTTGTCACTGTCTTTGTAGTAAAAAAAAGTGAATTAATGAAGATGTGGGATCTGCACACAGCATCAGGAGCCTGTGGCAGTTCTAGATTTGCTGTCCAAAGTGGTCCAGACACTGAAAGTTAACAGGCTGTGGGTTTTCTGAGCAGATGTGGCTATTACTAATATGGGTGCCCTCTGAGAACGTTTCTCTCTAGCTGTTCATATGCCGTGTCTTTGGCTTTACTGGAACTGAATTAAGAAGAGATACAATAGGACCTGGACACATGTGCTGAAGTCAACTGTTGTTTTCCTTCTGCTTGTGTGGCTCCTTGAGAAAAGCTGTATTCATGTTTTTTTGATCACTTTCACTGCATAGGAACATTCGTTGTCAGGGCAGGTTTAGTGCAGGCAACTTCTACCAATCTGCCTCAGCTGCATTGCAGAATGACACTTTTCCAGGATTCTGAGGGCAATTCATTCCTCATGCTAGTTAATCATTGGCCTCCCTCCTCAGGCTGCCAATAAACTCCAAATTATGATGGTGGTTTTTGCGTGGCTAACAGATGTTCTGAGGAATTGGACCACCAAACCGCTTGACACAGTAAGGGACAGAAAAGAGTGAATATTGCTGTATATGTAAATGTATTGCTAAGTGTATTTAGTGTTTATACACCATATTATGAGTTTTGCAGAGAATGTTTTTAATTGACACAGGAAAACGTTGCAGTTGGTTATATATTACATGTAAAAAACTGTAAGGCTGAACTTGTGTGACAGGTACTTCCTGTTTGTGAGCAGTTTTCCCCCATTTAATACCCTGCAGGAGTAAGTTTGATACCAGGAGTGCACGATAGTCATGAAAGGCCATTTTGTAGCAGCCTACCTGTTTCCTCTTGTGTATTTCCCTGGTGCATACCATCCTTAGAAATGAAGACCAGTGCATATGGACCACCCAAAGAGATGTTTCTGTGAGGTTTTGGCAAAGGGAGGCAGTGCTGTCTGTATTCTTCCTCAGATTCCTTCATTTTGCCCAAGCATGGGATGGGGGACAGCTTGTCTTATGGTTTGGGACAGACTCAGAGAACACATGGCCTTGGCCCTTGATGGTGTAAACCAGTTCACATCTGATAGCACGGTGTTCTAATATTTGTTTAATTTTATCACTTCGTTGCTATGGCACTTCAGATGTGTTCCTAATTGCTCTTACAGCCCTCTTGTGGACCCAGGTTATCACTGTGTATTTACATCAGCCAAATGAGCTGCAGGAGTGAGTCAGAAAAGGTGCCTTGAATATTCCTGTCACACTTGCAGTATGGTGGAGAGCTGGAGGACTCCTCGTTTGGGCTTCAGAGATTTGTACAGTTTGTTTCTGAAGTCAAGGTTGGCCATATGAAGCCTGTTGTAGGAATGAAAGGTTAAAATGCTTGCTTTTAAAAAAACCTTCCCTGAACTTCTAGGTAGAGAGATTTCACAGCCTGACAGAATTTAATTTAAAACGTCAGTTAATTGATGACTGAGTTGCTATGAACAGCTTTGGGTGTTGTCCCATTAATTCATAGCTGTCTGATAGGAGAATGACAAAGTATTTTGAATGATGCTGGATTATGTGACAGTGGAGTCATTTAAATGTGAAACTGATGATACCTGTTAAGAAGTTGTGCAGTGTATGGCATAGGAGATAGCCATTACTGAGTTCTTTTCCTGGCCTTTCCAGATCTACTTGTTTGGTTCAAGGGAGTTTGCCCACTGCTGTCCTCCATATGCCATTTGGCAAACACTTGTTTTCAGAATGTGAGACCACAGTGAATGACTTTTACTGCATAATGGTATATGATTTCTAGTGAATATTAATATAAGGATTTATATATTTGTCTGTGACTTCAGCATGCTGTGAAGATTGTTCCTTGGAGGTTCAGAGTAGACTCAGAGAAGTTATTTCCTTTTTTAGCATGTAATTACATTTCCCCCTGCTCATTCTCTTTTTGAACGGAACTATTTCTGATGCATGCTGTTAAAATAAATTAGAAAGTTGCAAAGATGTTTCTTCAAATGGATATATTTATCTTTTTGCCAAACAAAGTGCTGTTTCATAGATTCACTCCTGGGTCTTATCCCACGCATAAGGACTAGGTCGTAATTCCTTGAATACGATGAAAATGGGATTTTTAGATGTCTCAGAAGAACCCTTAGGAGGTATTAGTTGATTAACTGAGTTGAGGAGAACTGCCAAAAACTTTTGAAATTCAAGAAACCTAAAATTAATTTTTTTTTTTTTTTTTATTTTTAGAACTGCACTGGGGTAAGCTGATTTTCAAAGTATTTGCAGCAAGGCTGCTCTTGAACCGCACAGTTATATTATCTTGATGGTCTATGAATGAACCTTTTATTTCCCCAGCTTTTTGTATTAAGCTCCAGTTCGAGATAACCAGAGGTTATATTTCATCTTTCCCATCAGAATTCATCTGTAAATGACGTTGCAACTTATATTCTGGTGTAGTTTGTATTTAAGTGGAGGTGATTTAATGATATTTTTATGATCTTGTAGACCAGTTAAATGTTCTTGATCATGCCTTTTTTTTTTCCTCCTGTCTTTTTTTTTTCCTATTCTGGTTGTGCCTCTTGCCAGGAGGCTGAATGCAAAATTTGACCGAAAGAGGTGCAATTTAAGTGTTAGAGTGCAAACCCTTAGTCTCGTGTCTCAGAGTCCATTTCAGATTTCTTTATATATAGCACAGCCTTGTGTGTTAGGTATGATTGCTAGGCAGTGGTTTGTTATCCACATGCCTCTGTGAGGTTTAATAAGGGAAGGAATGTTTTGACTGGACTATGCAGCAAGAGCGCTGAATTTTATGCTCCGTGTTGCAAATCAGAAAATCTCTTTGGTCACACAATCCACATGTACCTAGAAAACAGCAGGTTCCCGTGCTGGAGAAGACTTTGGTGAGGAAATGATCAAGGCCTGGTGCTGTCGAGGTACATTTTTTTTGACTTCTAAGTCCACACCAACTTAGCTGTGTGAGGTTTAATGGTACATAGAGGTGACCAGGAAACATATCACTTATGTGTGTGTCCTGGTGTTCCTTTTTCTGCATTGTCTACCACCAGAAACACTCTATCCCATGTTAATTCACACAGTATGTGTGAGGGAAGTATATCCTTGTGGGTGTTTTAAAGAGATGTTGAATTTTTTCCCCCCAAAACTGAGAGTTTAGCCAGAAATGGCTGAGCAACATAAAAAGCTGTTTAAATAGTCAATATAATGGACATGGCAGTTGCAGAAGAGATTTATGGCAGTTGCAGAAGAGATTTAAGGGCTTACAGTTATGTTAAAAATCACAAATCTACAGCGTTCCAAATTTTTATGTCTTTCAAAATAACACACTTTTTCTTTCTCCTGGGATCCATTGTGGCAATGTGATGCTCTGACCTCAGGGCCCTGATACCTCAAAAGGCAGTTTGATCTGTGTGCTATTAGATCCTTCTCTTCATTATTCTCACATAATGAACTGTTGCAGGAAGTACTGGACTCTCTTTAGATCAAGCTGCTGATCTGAAAGGTGGCAGGAAAATCTTCTGTAAATAAATAAAAGGAAAAAACTAAATAGCTTCCTTTAAGCAGATAATTGCGCTGGCTTTTGTTAAAAGAATATATGCATAGAGACAAAAATATTTTAAAAAGCATTTTTTCAGTATCCAGTATTTATTTTACCATAAGAATATAAAAACTGCAGAGACACATTAACTCTAGCTTTACTGTTCCTATTTTAGTACTTACATACCATCTTAAAGACCATATATATGGCAAACTTTCATAGCAGTACAATATCTTGTTACGTAAGAAAATGCCTTTTTTTGGGGATTGTTTCAGATAGTTTTTAAATAGTCCATGATATGAACATTACTGTTCATGGCTGTGTCTGTACTTGGCCTTGCATGCACACATTTCAAGTGAACTTCTGGAAAGTAAAGCAGGGTTCATTATTTTTGGTCAGCGTTCTAAATTCTCAGGACAGCGTACAGCACAGCTCACACATGGTCTTGTTTTTGAAGCTGTAAATCTCTCTGGAGTGATCTGGTCTCTGTGGCTTTCACTGGCTGAATGGAACCTTGTTTCTTCTGAGCAGTCTTTTGTGTTGGTTTTATCGTTGTGTGCCTCTTACTTGTTAAAAGCTTCTCGAACGCAAAAGATGAATTTTGTCTGTGGGACTGTTATGTATGTCAGAAATCATTGATGAGAAATCTTAAAATTTGGAAAAGTGTGCATATATTTTAAGGGAAGCAAAATGAAGGAAATGATTAAAGGAAACCTGAGGCAGAGCAAGTACATGGAGAGCTCTCTGTGTATTTAAGGGCAACTGTTGTGTCGGGCCATGGTATGCATCACTGCTGCCTCTTGACAGGTTCACCGTGGAGAGACACAAATTAAATTCTTTCGGTTGCAGTTTTGAAGCTAAAAGTGTTTGACTGGTTCAGCCCCTGAATGGTGTTTAAGGAATAAAGGGAAAAAGAGCAGGAAGTTCTAATTGGCAAATTACTTCTTGTTATTTAGTTTGGCTTCCAAATTGGAAATTACGATAATGAGGAGCTTTGCCCTTGAAGAGGACCAGGCAGCTTTTTGTTCAGTTCCCATTTAATGTGAAGATATTCAAGGAACATATTGTAGCATTTAAGCCATCACTTTCTATTAAACAAGTATTCTAAAGTAATGATTTTTAAATCCCTCTCTGTGGATGGCTTTTGTGATTTTAAGATGTCTAAGTGAAGTGTAGATTGCAAACAAGAGCTAAAAGGATTTTCTTGTTATGTAATATTTAGCAAAGTGACTTTCCATGTATTTCTCAAGATATAATAGAGAATACAGTGTTGTATGCAACGACAGGAGGACTTCACATGAACATTAATCTCAGTAACTTGTATATATTAATTGTATATATAACTTTGCATAATTCTAACTTTTATTTTGCTTACAATTTCTTTGCAACAAGTGCTATAGTTGACTGAAGTCAAGGTCACTGGGAAGGATCTGATCCTGGAAATACATATGTTAAATTGCCTTTAATATGTGAATTTTACCTTGCAGATCAAGGTTTGAAACTTGAACTACTTGGTGTTACAATATTCATTAAAACAAGGAAAAAAGTCTGAAAATAAAAAGGGGATGTAAAAACTTAGTTCTCTGAGAAAATAAAGTGAGAGTTCTTATTTTTTAAAATAATAATAATAGGTTTGTGGATATTTCTCTGTTTGAGGAACAGCGAAAATCCAATTTATGGGTCCACAGACACTGGGCTGGGATTGTATTCCATGACATACTTTCGTTCTTCCTCTTTTGTGCTTTCTTAGTGCAAATGACTCATTTAATTTTTTAATTTTACCTACATGATGCTTTTAATGGACCACTAAATAATTTCATGCTATCAAGAACCATTTCACACATGTACATATTTTCTTGCTTATGGTTCTGTAATTGACCCTCTTGTTAATTTGCAAGCTCAGGATAAACAATCCTAACTAGCTGACTTTTCACTTTTCAATGTTCACATTAATTAAAATGGTTAAGTAGAGTACTGGAAGGGAGTTAATTTGTTCAGCATGTTTCCTTCTGAATTGGTTCCTTTCAAGCCCACATTTAGCCTAAAGCAAGTGCACTTACTGCCATTTTTTAAAACCTCTTAAAACAGAGGCATGTGATAGGAGCACAATTCCTGAACTCCAGCAATGATGCTGGATGCAGTTCTCAGACTGTCTATTATTGTTTCAATCTGAGTAGATGACCAGTGGATGATTCATAGTCTCACCCTCCTGTCCAGCACAGAGACCTGTTTGAGAGCAAACACACAGGCAATTTATTCCATGTTTTTTCTTTGGTTTAAGCTGCTTCAGCAACAAGAAAACCAATTCATTAAAAAAACACAACAAAAACCAAAAAAGATTGCTGTGTATGCTGTTCAGTTATACTTCTGTGTTAATTCACGTGAGCATACAGCTGTGGATCAACGTGTATAAAAATTCATTCGTGTGTGTGTACACTAATCAAGGAAACAAGAGTAGCTTATAGCAGTAAATTACTTAATTTTCTGCTATTGTGGGAAAAAAATACTTTGTATTAGACCCTTAAAAACAGGGTAGTTTATATCCCCCTTAAAAAAATATGGTAGTTAATATCAAAGTTTCATAGTCAGGCCATGAAGAGGCTTTGTGCCAACCTCTTCCTGTATATTACAGGCAGTACCAGAGACCATAATGAAAATATTTTGTCCCTCTGGAAACGGCATGCTGTGACCAGTAAGCAAGAGCAACAGATGCATTGGTAAATATCTGAGCTTTGTGTATTGTTCAGGTTGAATCCAATATATCGCAGTGGCCCCAAGGAAAGCCTCTGTTCTCTTCTGGAGGCGGGAATAAGGAAATAAACCAAAGGCCCTTGCTCATCTCAAACAGGGGGAATCTTATATTGGAATGGTCTGATTGTCAGTAATGCCTTGGATGTGTGAACTGGTCACATACCAGTCAGGTATCTCAAAGGCAGATTCCTGCTGCAATTTTTGAACAGTGGGGCACTTCATCTTCTGTCTGCTTTGAACCTGTGGCTGGTCTCTGATGGTCCTTGGGAAGACCTGCCCAAGCTGAGGGAACTGACCTCGCCAACATCTGGCTGAAGCCCTGGAGCATGAGATTCAGCCACACTGAATGTCACAAAGTGTTACAAGCATGTGGAGGTCAAAACAGCCAGTTTTATTCTCCCCTTTCAGCACTTGCTAGATGGAGATAGGCAGGGAGTGTCATAGATCATGAAGTATCAAAGCTAAAAGGACAGCAGCGTCCCTGCAGCAGGGCTCCTCACAAATAGGCCATTGTTTGGGTTTGGTATTTTTTTTTTCTCCCAGGAAGTGGAGGATAAAAATGTCTTAGATATCACAGTCTTTCTTACAAGATTCCTTTTAAGGTCTTACAAAGGTTAAGATATATGCAGATAAAAGTAAGGATGAGTTTAAATAGACCTTGTTTTAACATACTTGAGAGACATTGTGTGAGGAGTTGACAATTTAATTTATCTTGGCAATTCTCACTACCAAATCTTAGTACAGCCTTGAATATGAATATGTCCTGCTGTGGAGCGCAGTCATGATTAATTAATGACAGTAAGGACGAAACATGAAAGTACTGCTCCGTTCTTCTGTCCCAGACATTACTAGATCCACTTCCTGGTGATATGGCCTGCTAAATACTTTTTTCTTATTGATACATTGATTTCTGTTTCAACAGAAAGCAGCCTAAAAGTAAGAGGGGTAAGTATGCATGCATGAGGTTGAGTGGGTTTCTAAGCATGACAGATTTAGACAACTTGGATGGTGTGTGGAACGCCATACAATCAGTAAACATATTGAAATACCTTTCTATCCTCTCAAATATCCTTGTGGCTATTGCTAAAGGAAGAAGATGGAGCTTATTAAAACAAAATATAATAATTCTTAGAATTTGAAGAAAATATATTATGTATCAGGTGCCTTTCTTTGTAGACATGAATGGAAGAACAAGGGGTAATGACAGTATTGCTGAAAACTAAAAGCATAAAAAAAGAGGTTAAAAATTGGAGCTTAATGCTTTTAAGAGAAGTGGCATATCTCTATTTCATTTGTCCTCTTTTCATGACTGAATGCCTGTCAGGAAAATGTCTTATAGTGAAACATGGGGCCCACTACAGAGGAAGTTCTTGCCGAAGTTGTCCAAAGATGAGTAATACAAAATAACTCTAGCTTTAGCACTTTAGAAACACAATATTTTAGAAACACAATTATTTTTACTGTGCCATTTGTTTCCATTGTAACCCAAGACATGATTATAATTTTTCTTGACAATATAATAGAAATGATAGAAAATTGATATTATAATCCTCTGTTTAAGAGTCCCTTATTTTATGTGTAACTTTGGTTCTTGGTTTCTCTTCAGAAGTAATGAATGAGGAAGGTGAATGCTTCATGTTTCTGCTGAAACAAAGGTGAAGCAGTTAGATAATCGTCATCCTGGTAGAAGATTTCATGTCTCTTTTTCATAATTCTGAGATCTGAATGTAGAATAGACTAAGCAAATGATCAGCTGTCATTATGATAGTATCTTTGAGAGGTTAAAAAAAAATAAGTACCCTTGATTAATTTCTGTATCTTCGTCCCGATGACTGTTATAAATGAAGATGGTTAATTCTTCTGTCAGTAATCCTACTGCACCTCCGAAAACAGAAGCACTGAAAACATTGTAAATGGAATTTCACAGGGGCAGTGAGGCAACAGCACAATGTCTCACACAACAGGCCTTTTGGTAAAGTGAAAGAGCTGTCACTTGTAATTTATTGAGTGCAGCACACCACAGTTTTGGAGCCAATAGGGTATTTTTTTAATAAAACTTTAATGATGTTGTATCATCCTTTATAAAACCCTACCATTTACAATGTGCCACATAAGCTTCTGCCAGGGAGGGAAGGTGCAGGGGAAAGGTAAAATATTTTGTGGCTCCTATTCTGGACAGTGTATTTCTTGTATTACTTATTTTACTGTTGTTTTTCATTGTCTGTCTTATTTTTATTTGCTGCGTTACTGAGAGTAAATTCTCCTTTTGTCTTGACATGCATCTTCATTGATTTTATTTGTCTAGTAATAACACATGAATACAGCCATAAATTACAGAAAAATAAGGTTTAAATAATGAAATCACTAAGGATTAGTCTGTCTACTTACTGTTCTTACATATTAAATGAAAAGATATACTAACCATATTCCAAAAGAAAACAAAAACAAAACCAACACGCAGGTTTTCTGTCTGAAGTCCTAAGAAGTTGTGTGGCTTAGTCAGATAGCTTAAAAAGAGTATTTTCATCCAGGAAAATCTCACTGAACCACCTCTGCTCTACCTTTTGGGGAGATTATTATATATCTATATAAAAGAGGAAGGGAAGAGCACAGAGAACTGCAAAAATTGTAAATCCTCTTGCGAACAGGCTCATCCATATTTCCCTGTTTATTCATATTTCCTGGAGGCATGTGGCAACAAAAGACAGTCATGAAATAGAAGCAGATGCAGGAACCAAACACAAAACAAAGCCCAAGCCCAACATGGTATATACCCTGTGGAAGGGTTTAATTACAGGCAAGTTCCACCACAAAAATATGTCACAAATGTGGAATGCCTTCGGATTATTACCACATGGATTTTCATCAGCTTCTGCTGGACTTTGTCACCAGCATTGCCCAGTTCCTCATGAGCACCAAAATCCTCCTCCTCATACTTTTCTTGCAAACCATAATTAGTTAAGGAGTAAATACCTTACAGTAGGATAGTCCTTTGATTCTTCTCAGTCCTGAAGGTCCCAAGTCAACCCTGTATTGTCTGTATCTGTAAACTTAAAGACAGAATATCATGTTATTTCTCCTGTGCTTTCCTGCTATTTTTTTAAATTTCTTGCCCTTGAAGAGATGTATGTTGTGTTGTAGTTATTCCTTGAATTTAATCGTTGAAGAACACAGCATTTCTATTCCATCATTTTTTTTGTCTCTTAAGCCTGCCATCTGACTGTTCCTCACTTTCAGGTTCAACAGATTTCTCAGGAAAACTCACTTTTAACTTTCCAGTTGCAGTGTAATGCTCTGATGAATTTTCACTGTTTGAAAATAAAAGTAAAGGAAATACTGGCTGCCATACAAAAATGCTAATAATAGTAATAGTAGTACAAAGTAATAAAAAGTGTGTATTCTAAAGAGACAAACAGGGCCATGCAGGATATCATGGTTCAGAACATCTCAATTGTTTTTTTCCATAGGAATCAGATCAAAAGCAATTACATTTGCTTTGTTTTTTAAATGCATTATGCTATTTTTTGCCTTCTGATATCCTCTTTGGCAGTTGTTCTGAGTGGGGATTGAGAGTTCAAAGGAAGACAGAGCTATTTTGTCAAAGCAGATCTTAGTGATGCAGAAGAATTCAAGAGTGAAATAGTTTTTTTTTGCTGCTATGCTAATAAAGGTATACAGAGAAACGGTAGCATGCAGCATCCTGAAATGTCACACAGCTTTATGTTACCCTGTGATCTTTGTGTTAAATACTGCAAAGGGAAAGAAAAGGTGCCAGAACTGTTTAATGGTAGGGATCTTACTGCTCATATTTTATATCTTGGTAATGTTGTTCTTTAGGCCAGAGTTTTATAGTGAGCAAAGTTTGTAAACTTTGCAGAAGTGTTTTAAGACTGCTGAGGTTTTATCTGCATGTGTGCATGTACAGACAGGTTTGTCTATTTGCATTTGTGTGTCAGTACTTTGAAGTGGAGTTGATTTTAGATGGAATATAGATGAGATAATGGAGTTGCCTTCTTTCTTTGACATCTCCTTACTGGTGTGTAAGTGCCCACTTTGTGTTGATTGATTTGCAGCCTGACATGAAAATGTCACCAAAATGTCCTCAGGTGGTAAGGACATCTCTTGTCTTCTGATAACAGGCCATATAATTTCATCTGGTAAATATATATTTAGACAATGCTTGATGCCTAGGTGCACCAGTGTACCAAAAAAAAAAAAAAAAAGGTCTTACCCATAATGGTTAACTCATCTTACCTAAACATTTATACTTTCACCTTTTTCCCAGCTCTTGGTTCTAGCCGTGCGTTTCTCTGCTGGAGTAAATGGCTGTCTAATCTGAGGAGTCTGTTCATGTGTAGCTACTTATAAACCATAATCAGGTCACATCTTAACCTTCTCTTTGATAAAATAAATAGATTAAGTGCTTAAGCTTTTCATTCTGAGGCACATTTCCAAGCCTTGAC